AATTTATAAATAAAGCTAATAACAACATACAAATTTATGAATAAAGCTATAAATAACATACAAAGTTATTAAGAAAGCTATAAATAACATACGAAATTACGAATAAATCTATAAATAACAGGAATCTATTCATAAACCTACAAATAACACATAAAGTTATTAACAATGCTATAAACACCATGTAAATTTCTAATAAAGCTATAAATAACACATAAATTGATGAATATTGCTATAAGATACAAAATTATGAATAAAACAATATAAAATATACCATTTCATGAATAAAGCTATAAATAACATACAAAATTATGAATAAAGCTATAAATAACATATAAATTAATAAAGTTATAAATAACATATAAAATATTACTAAGCAATAAATAACACATATATTTATTAATAACGCTATAAATACCATAAAATTTTAGAAATCAAGCGATAAATAGCATACAAATTTATGAATAAAGCTATAAATAAGACACAAATGATGACTAAAGCTAGAAAGAACAAATTTATAAAGCTATAAATAACATACATTCATGAAAAAAGCTATAAAGATACAGGCTTATGAATAAAGCAATAAATAAGATACAAATTTATAAATAAAGCTATAAATAAGATGCAAATTTATGACTAAAGCTATAAATAACAAATATCTAAATAAAGCTATAAATAACACAAATTTTTAATAAAGCTATTAATAACATAAAATTTATGACAAAAGCTATAACATAGATTTCTAAATAAAGCTACAAATAACATAGATATTTATCAATAAAGCTATAAATAACACATAAATTTCTAAATAAAGCTATAAATAACATACAAAGTTAGGAATAAACCTATAAATAAGATACAAATTTAGGAATAAAGCTATAAATAACATATAAATTTATAAATAAGGCTGTAAATAACACAAATTTAGAAATAAAGCTATAAATAGCATATAAATTTATGAATAAAGCTCTAAATAAGATACAAAATTATGACTAAACTAGAAACAACATAAATTTTTAAAGCTATAAATAAAACATACATTGATGAATAAAGCCCTAAATAAGATACAGACTTATGAATAAAGCAATAAATAAGATACAAATTTATAAATAAAGCAATAAATAAGATACAAATTTATGACTAAAGCTATATATAACATAAATTTCTAAATAAAGCTATAAATAACACAAATTTATAAATAAATAAATCTATTAATAACATACAAATTCATGACAAAAGCTATAACATATAAATTTCTAAATAAAGCTATAAGTAAGATAGATGTTTATATATAAAGCTATAAATAACACATAAATTTATGAATAAAGCTCTATATAAGATACAAAATTATGACTAAAGCTATAAATAGCTTATAAATTTATAAAGCTATAAATAAGATACAAAATTATGACTAAAGCTAGAAATAACATAAATTTATAAAGCTATAAATAACACATATATTGATGAATAAAGCTATAAATAAGATACAGACTTATGAATCAAGCAATAAATAAGATACAAATTTATAAATAAAGCTATTAATAACATACAAATTTAGGGACAAAATAACACATACATTTCTAAATACCGCTATAAATAAGATATAAATTTATAAATAAGGCTATAAATAACACACAAATTTAGAAATAAAGCTATAAATAGCATACAAATCTATGAGTAAAGCTATAAATATGATAAAAATTGTGACTAAAGCAATAAATAACTTATAAATTTATAAAGCTCTAAATAAGATACAAAATTATGGTTAAAGCTAGAAATAACATAAATTTTTAAAGCTATAAATAACACATAAATTGATAAATAAAGCTATAAATAACATACAGACTTATGAATAACGCAATAAGTAAGACATACATTTAGAAATAAAGCCATAAATAACAAATTTAGAAATAAAGCTATAAATAACATAAATTTCTAAATAAAGCTATAACTAGCATAGATATTTCTAAATAAAGCTATAAATAACACATAAATATATAAATAAAGCTACAAATAAAATACAAAGTTACGAATAAAGCAATAATTAAGATACAAATTTAGGAAAAAGCTATAAATAAGATATGAATTTATAAATAAGGCTATAAATAAGATAGAAATTTAGGAATAAAGCTATAAATAAGCTATAAATTTATCAATAAGGCTATAAATAAGATAGAAATTTAGGAATAAAGATATAAATAAGCTATAAATATATGAATAAGGCTATAAATAAGATAAAAATTTAGGAATAAAGCTATAAATAAGCTATAAATTTATGCAGAAGATAAAAATTTAGGAATAAAGCTATAAATAAGGTATAGATTTCTAAATAAAGCTATAAATATGATACAAATTTAGGAATAAAGCTATAAATAAGCTATGAATTTATAAATAAGGCTATAAATAAGATAGAAATTTAGGAAAAAGCTATAAATAAGATACAAATTTATCAATAAGGCTATAAATAAGATAGAAATTTAGGAATAAAGATATAAATATGCTATAAATATAAAAATAAGGCTATGAATAAGATAAAAATTTAGGAATAAAGCTATAAATAAGATATTAATTTATAAATAAGGCTATAAATAAGATACAAATATACGAATAAAGCTATAAATAAGCTATAAATTTACGGAGAAGATAAAAATTTAGGAATAAAGCTATAAATAAGGTATAGATTTCTAAATAAAGCTATAAATATGATACAAATTTAGGAATAAAGCTATATATATATAGCTGTTTATATATAAAGCTATAAATAAGACATAAATTTATGAATAAAGCTCTATATAAGATACAAAGTTATGACTAAAGCTATAAATAGCTTATAAATTTATAAAGCTATAAGATACAAAATTATGACTAAAGCTAGAAATAACATATAAATTTATAAAGCTATAAATAACACATACATTGATGAATAAAGCTATAAATAAGATACAGACTTATGAACCAAGCAATAAATAAGATACAAATTTATAAATAAAGCTATTAATAACATACAAATTTAGGACAAAATCTATAACACAGATTTCTAAATAAAGCTATAAATCACATAGATATTTACCAATAAAGCCTTAAATAACACATAAATTTATAAATAAAGCTAAAAATAAGATTCATGGTTAGGAATAAAGCTCTAAATAAGATACAAAATTATGACTAAAGCTAGAAATAACATAACTTTATAAAGCTATATTATAAACACATACATTGATGAATAAAGATATTAGCTACAGACATGAATAAAGCAATAAGACAAATTTCTAAATAAAGCTATAAATAAGATACAAATTTATGACTAAAGCTATAACATAAATTTCTAAATAAAGCTATAGATAGCATAGATATTCATAAATAAAGCTATAAATAACACATAAATTTCTAAATAAAGCTATAAATAAGAAACAAAATTAGGAAAAAAGCCATAAATAAGATATAAATTTATAAATAAGCCTATTAATAACACACACATTTAGAAATAAAGCTATAAATAGCATACAAATCAATGAATAAAGCTCTAAATCCGATAAAAATTATGACTAAAGTTATAAATAACTTATAAATTTATAAGGATCTAAATAAGATACAAAATTATGATTAAAGCTAGAAATAACATAAATTTTTAAAGTTATAACACATAAATTGATAAATAAAGCTATAAATAACACACAGACGTACGAATAACGCAATAAATAAGACACACATTTAGAAATAAAGCTATAAATAACAAATTTAGAAATAAAGCTATAAATTACATATAAATTTCTCAATAAAGCTATAAATAGCATAGATATTTCTAAATAAAGCTATAAATAACACATAAATTTCTAAATAAAGCTACAAATAAAATACAAAGTTATGAATAAAGAAATAATTAAGACACAAATTTAGGAATAAAGCTATAAATAAGATATGAATTTATGAATAAGGCTATAAATAAGATATACATTTGTAAGGTTATAAATAAGGTAGAAATTTAGGAACAAGGCTATAAATAAGCTATAAATATATAAATAAGGCTATAAATAAGATACAAATTTAGGAATAAAGCTATAAATAAGCTATAAATATATAACTAAGGCTATAAATAAGATACAAATTTAAGAATAAAGCTGTAAATAAGATATAAAATTTATAAATAAGGCTATAAGTAAGATAGAAATTTAGGAAGAAAGCTATAAATAAGCTATAAATATATAACTAAGGCTATAAATAAGATACAAATTTAGGAATAAAGCTATAAATAAGCTATAAATATATAAATAAGGCTATAAATAAGATACAAATTTAGGAAGAAAGCTATAAATAAGCTATAAATTTATAAATAAGGCTATAAGTAAGATAGAAATTTAGGAATAAAGCTATAAAGAAGCTATTAATATATAAATAAGGCTAGAAATAAGATAAAAATTTAGGAATAAAGCTATAAATAAGCTATAAATATATAAATAAGGCTATAAATAAGATACAAATTTAGGAATAAAGCTATAAATAAGCTATAAATATATAAATAAGGCTATAAGTAAGATAGAAATTTAGGAATAAAGCTATAAATAAACTATAAATTTATAAATAAGGCTATAAATAAGATACAAATTAGGAATAAAGCTATAAATAAGATATGAATGTATGAATAAGGCTATAAATAAGATATACATTTGTAAGGTTATAAAAAAGGTAGAAATTTGGGAATAAAGCTATAAAGAAGCTATAAATATATAACTAAGGCTATAAATAGCATAGAAATTTAAGAATAAAGCTATAAATAAGCTATAAATATATAAATAAGGCTATAAATAAGATAGAAATTTAGGAATAAAGCTATAAATAAGCTATAAATATATAAATAAGCCTATAAATAAGCTATAAATTTATCAATAAGGCTATAAATAAGATAGAAATTTAGGAATAAAGCTATAAATAAGATATAAATATATAAATAAGGCTATAAATAACTCGCAGGATGGAACCAGCTGCTCCGCCTGTTCCCACTCTCCTCACTCTGGTGTCTCCCTCCAGAAGCAGCCCCGCTTCCAGGCTCCGCCTTCCGGCTCCTGGTGATCTAGGAAGCAAACAACACCGAGGAAGTATCAGGCCCTGCCTGTGGCTCACCTGGCAGCACGCACAGCAACTCTGCTGCCATCAGGGACAGTCAAATCCGGCCAAAGGCGGCCTGCGACTTGAAAATCTGAGGCTGTTTTTCTCCTCTGTTGCAGCACACAGGTGCTGTGCACACAGATGCAGCACACCTATCAGCAGGCTGCTGTGAAATTTCTTTAGTGATCTGAGCCAGAAAGGTTGCACTCGTGCCCTCACTTCGGCAGCGTGGTGGGGTTTTCCCCTCTTACTTCAACAGTCACCTCATTAGTCAGTGTTCCCTTTGTGGCACTGTCACCCTCCAGCAAACATATCCACAGCCTGCATCTCAGTGCTGTGTACTGTGACATGCGGGGCTCTGACACAATTCCCACAACTTCAGCTTTTATTGACGCATAGAAGTTATTCCCTTGTCCACCTAGGAGTCCTCAGCACCAGCTTACGTATAGAAGCGTGTGGGCAAGTACGCCAAGAGCTCGTACGAGTGCAATAGTTGACCTGAAGGCCCGGGGAGGTACTTACACTGCAGACAATAACTCAGCTCTTGTGATCTCCCCTTGCTGGAAGAGTTTCAGAGCACCTGTCTTGCCCACCTCTAAAACATGTAGCATCTCTTAGCAGGGACTTACCCTGCTCTGGGCTGCGTCTTCTCTTCCTGCACGAATGCTTTGCAGGGGACCCTGCCTCTTCTGCAGCTTTCTTCACTGCCTTGGGTCCTGGAGTCAGCTCTCTCTCTTCCGTCACCCATCCGCATGTAAGACTCCCATTCTCCTTTAAATAAACACACTAAAAAATGAAATAAACCCAAAGACCACTCAACACTTTCCCAAGGAGTTTTACCTCCTTTTAGCACTTACTTGCTCTGCACTAAACAACGCTTCCACAACAAACATTTCTGATGGTTGAGCTGGGCTGTGATCCAGCTCTTCTCCCTGTTCTTCAGGGGCTCCCTGGGTGGTCACAAACTCTTGTGCCGTGTCAGCAGCAGCGGCACTTTCTCTGGCCGCATTGATGCAGCTTTCAAACAGCTCTCCACCCCAGCTTTCTGCAGCCTCCGGTGTCACTGCATCTGCGCTGCCTGATGCATTCATCTCACTGAAAAACTGAAATACATCTTCATAACTTAATTCCGGCAGCTTCTCCTCATTCTCAGATGTGTGCTGTGCGCCATCAGAGGGCAGGCATTCAGCTGCAGGAGGTGGCTGCACTTCAGGACTCTGCGAGAAACAAAATACAGGGAATTTCTAGATCAAAAAATCACCACCATTTTCAGTCAGGGCTGATGGATTTTACTGCTCCTGAGGACTGTGCAGGCCAACCCTTTTTCAGCACACACCAGAAGAGTTTGCTTTGCTTATCCCCTCTCAGGAAAAAAAGGATATACATGCTGCTGGAATGCACAAGGAAACCCTGTCATTTTTACTGAGGTTCTTTTGCTATTTGATAAGCCAGGCCACCCAATGAGGTGCAATTTCCACCAGAATTTTAGCAAGCATTGACAGGAAGCACTGAAGCTCTCCTAGATAGGACAGCTCTGAGCTGGGGCCAATTCCAAAAGCCAGCTTGGTTCTTCTCATGCATCCAATGAAACTCAAGACTGCCACAAGCTGTCTGGGGCACAGAAGTGGAGCTGATTCCCAGTATCATAACATTAAAGAATCCCATTTTGTGCAGGCAAGGGCTTCCTTCAAAGACAAATGGAGACTCAGGAACTAAAGCGAATTATGGTGAAGTCAAATGTAACACTTTTACAGGAAAAAAAAACACTCCGCCGATGAGGACACCCACTATGCCGCTGCCCTGAAACCTTACCTGTGTTACAGCACTGCCCCTTTCATGTTTCAAAGCCGTGCTTTGAAATGGGCATTGGCAAACCACGCTACTTTCCCTTTCTACAGCAGATCCAGTGCCAAACTTCTCTCCTTCCTGCCGCAAGCCCAGAACCCTGCGGTCCATGCGTGGGCTCTCCTCCCTTCCCCCTGCTCTCTGTGCGCTGCACTCACCTGCACAAAGACGCAGTCGGTGGACGCCGCAGCTGCAGCACTGGCGCTGAGAGTCAGAGGTCCTCCCTGGGCAGGGGGTGAACACTGCAGGGTGACTGCAAAATTCAAACACAGGGATCAGACTGCCAGAACTGCTGCCCAGGGTGCACAGTTCTATTGCTTACTTGCATTAAACACTGCAGTAACCACTCCGTAAGCTAACTCCCTGAAATGGATTATGACCTCCCCACTGATTGTAAGACTGACTTCTCCACCTTAAAACATATTTCTCCTAAAGTTCACAGTAATTAAATGGTACAAGTGTATTTGAGAGCTGAATCAAGATTCCACACACACCTGCTTCACCCACACACTTTTGTCCTTCCCTGCTCATTGCAGAGAAGGCATTTCTAAGCTCTTCTGTCTCTGATACAGTTCATCTCATCAGAGCCAGAAGAAATGAGCAGCTAAAGCACATTCTGTCACCGGCTGGTAGCAAGTAACGGACAGGGAACACACATCTCACTGCAAGCACACACGTCAGATACACACGCAGTGACAGAGCACTGGGGGAAAACATTTCATGCACCACTTTGCAGGAACTTCTCAAGCAGCAAGTGGAGAACTTTTGCCGTACGTGTTGGATCCAGGCCTTGCAAGCACTGCCCTGGAGACGCGCAGCTGCCGGGTTCTGGAAGGGCAGCACCAGCTGGAGCCCATCGCTGAAGTGGCAGAAGGGAGCACACCGTCTGCAGAGTGTATGTGACCTCCGTGCAGCACTTGCGGACGACTGGAAAGGGAGCCCCCTGGCCTGGGAAAGCTGGGGAAGCCCAGTGCCCTGGCAGCGACCCAACAGAACCCTGCCATGGTCTGCAAGGGGCCGGAGGCTGCTGGGAAGTCCTTATCTGGAAAGCAGGGTGGTTCTGGCATGAGGCCGCTCTGGTGGAGGAAGGAAAGCAGCTGTCTGGACGACAAGGTTGTGGAGCCTCTCCTGAAGTCACCAGTCCTGCAAAACAAAGGGAAACAAGGACTAAGGGAAGGAGTTTTCACTAGCCCTGAAAGGCAGGATGAGGAGCCAAGGCTCCACAACGTTCCCTGGGAAGACCACCTTTGCTCCAATATTCTTAATCCAGAAACAGACTCTATTCTTACACCTAAACATATAGTAACTGCTGTAGCACTACCACCTGAACAGACAGGAACATCAGTGCTGTGCCAACACACAGTCATCTCTGGAGCACTCAGCCTCCTGAAACCCTCAGGAGCAAGTGATCGCTGCTTAAAAAAGTGCTATTACAAATCAAAATGGGCAGGAGCTGACTAAACCGGCGCAAGCCATTTAGGAAGTGTTGCGCTTTACATCCGGCAGTAAGGTAAAATGAAGGGGGAATGGTGAAGCAGGGCTCTACCAAACTCCAGTGCTGACAGCACACGGGCAGCCAAGGCAAGGGCAATGTCCAAATCCTAAACGTGACTCTGAGAGCACTTGATCACAAGTCATTCAGCTTGTCAAGGAAAACAAAACCAAAGCCAGCTTTTTCCCAGGTAGCTCAACCTAAAAGCTCAGACTTTGCCGTTTTGTTACTTCCAAGATATTCCCTTTCGTCTTCCCTGGTTTCCTCTCTCAGTCAGTTATGGTTTCATGGAATGGTACTTGCCCTCATACGGTCGGTTACCCATCGCTTCACACAGATTTAACGACAGCTTATGGAGCAACCCTTCAAGGAGAAGTAACGGTCATCTGGTAGGGCTGTGCCAGCTCCACAGAGACAGGGTGAGGGTGCTCTTACTGCAGCCCCCGACAGAGGCTGTCTTGCAGCCGAGGGGCAGAGCGAACCACCCGCGAACCTCGCTCCCCGTGCCTGCTGGCACCGCATCTCCCTGCACGAACAACAACGGCTTTCCCGCACCGGCGGAGCTGAGCGGCCGCCAGCAAGGTCAGGCAACCCTGCTCCGTGCGGGGGTGCTGATCGCCAAACCCCAGAGCACCCAGTGCTTCTCGGCCCGCAGCCCGGGGCCACCCCAGCTCACCGGGTCTGGCAGCCTCGACGAGCATCGAGGGCGAGCACTGGGAGAGCTGGGCCGGGCGGCTGGGCAGCTCCAGCCCGGCCGCCAGCTTCGCTTTGTTGGCGCTCGTCCGGCGCTTGAGACGCACGAGGAGCTCGGGGCGGTCGCGGCGGAAATGGGGGCTGTAGAAGTGGAGCAGGGCCCCGGGGGCGCTGCCGCAATCGCCCCCCGCCGGGTCCTGCAGGGGCCCGGACCCCGTCCCCAGCTTGTGGAACCCGTACAGGTTCAGCTGTCGGATGATGCTGCCGAAGTTCTTCGTCTTAAAGAACTCGGCGGCCAGCGCCGCCCCGTCGCCGGCCGCCTCCGCGCCCAGCAGCTCTCGCTCGAAGAGCCGCTGGTCGATGAGCAGCCCCTCGCCACGGGCATCCCAGCGCACGGAGCCGCAGCGCGGGCTGTTCACCAGCTGCCAGAGCTTGGCCGGGAAGTGGCTGGGGTTGACAGCGCCGGGCAGCCGCTGGCCCTCCATGGCGCTCCCCGACAACGGACGCACCGGCCGCTCTCGCTGCACCGGCCGCCAGGCAACGCCCGGCCCCGTCGGCCCGCGCTGGGGGAGCGACACCGGCCCGCGCGCCGCCCGGCACGGGACCGGCTTCAGCCAGCGCTGCCCGCCGGCCCCGGCCCCGCCTCGCCCTCGGCACAGCCGCACCCGCAGCACCGCCAGAGCCCGCCGGGCCCGCAGCGGCTCCCCGGTCCCCCAGCCCCGCCGGTCCCCTCGGCCGCTCCCCGCTCCCTCAGCCCCAAGAACAAAATCAGGGCAAGAAGTTCAAAAACAAACCTGCAGCAACAAGACAAAAGCTCAAATCTCATCACTAGCAACAGCTCATCCCAGCTCTCCAACAAACTTTGCTCCTCTAGAACTAGACAGGGAAAAGGGAAACGCGAACCAGCAGTGATGCACAACGCAACTGCTCAGCACCCGCTCAGCGGTACCCAGCCTGACCCGAGGGGCGACCTGCGCCTTCCGGCTGACTCCCCCCACTTTATGTACCAGGTGTCCTGGCTCTGCTTCCTCCAGGATTCCCCTGCCCCTCCTCACTGGCACAGCAGGAGAGACTGGAAAGTCCTTGCTCAGCCGAAGTGCTACTCAGTAACAGCTAAAACAGCCGTGTGCTACCAGCGTGCTTCCCAGAACCAAGGCAGTACACAGCACTGCGCCACCCGCAGGGGAGAGCATCAGTTCTGGCCCAGCCAAAACCAGGACAGTATCCACACCTTATTCCACACCGTTCCCGTCATGCCAGGTCACACTAATTCTTCAGAGGTTTAACACCTTCAGAAAAGATCCAACATTCTTTCTGCATACCACTCTAAGGGCAGCAGGCAAATCCCTTCCACTTTTCCTTACCTCCTTTCTCTGCCGGGCTGTTGTTCTTAGACCTCAAGGAAGAAGGCAGCACTAAACTCTCCCTCATAAGCACACAGAGGGCTCAAGGCAGCAAGTGGAGAAGCCAAAGAGAAGCCCATGTACATCAGCAGACCCCAGCACTCCAACAAAACAAAAACTCCTTTCTTCCCAAAGGAAAGACAAATTCAACTCACAGTTTTCCTCTCAGAAAAACACAACAAAATGAACCCAGCTCCCTGCACACCTTCCTCTCCAAGCCCAACTCTCCCAGAACAATCAGCAGCTTCAGAGAACCTTCTGGTGCCTGCTAAGGGTAACAAAGCCCACTTGTGAGCACCCTGCTCCCACTCTTCTCACTGCTCATTCTGTAGCTGAAGCCCACCGAAAATAATCCACTGGGGTTTATGAGGAGTAATGGAAATATCAACTTCATTCCTACACATGGGGACCTCCAGAAAGGTGCCCCCAACACGGCAATCTGCCCTTGCCTTGCCACCTTAAACACCACTGCCGTACTGACCCTCTGCTGCATCACTTTGGTGTGCTGGAGCACGGCTCCACAGTGCCAACATCCAGCTGCTGTTCCCAAGCACGTAGCACCAGGACAGAAAGCAGTTGCTGAGCATCACTTTTTTTTTTTTTTCTCCTTAGGTTTTTTCCCCACGGTTTTTGTTCCACTCTTTTTACCCCCACGGTTATTTTATCCCCACGTTTTCCCCCTTCCAGTTCCCCTCCTGCTCCCGTTTTCACCCCCTCCCCCAAATTTTTTTTAATTATTTTTTCCCCACAGGTTTCTCTTTTTTTTTCTCTCTCCCTCCGGAGTTGTTCGGGGATTTTTTTTCTTTTCCCCCCGCCCCTCCCCCTGTTTTTTTCGAGGTTTTTTTTTTTTTTTTTTTTTGAGGGGAGTATTTGTTGGTGTTTGTTTATTTCGATGGTTTTCTTACTTTTGCTGCAGTTTTTTCCATAGTGTTTTTCGTTCCACCCTTTTATCCTCCATTCCCTCCCGCCCCGGCATTTTCCTCCCTCCCCCTTTCTCTCTCCCACTGTTTGCCCCCAGGCTGGTAGGTTTCTATCCCAAGGTTTCCCACATGCACAATTCCCTCCCCACTTGGTTCCCCACCCACATTTTCCCTTCTGGTTGGTGGGGTTTCCCCCCCCAGTTTTCCCTCACCACTTTTCTTCCCCATCCCTCCCCCCCGCCCCTTTTTTCCCCCATTGTTTTGTTGGGTTTTCCTCACAAGGATGGGGATTTTTTTGACACACCCCCACTTTTTTTTCCTCTTACACTAACACCGGCCCCGGGGTTTCATTTGGGTTGGGGGAGGTTGTTTTTATTGATGGGTTTGAGTGAGGGTTGTTTTCCCTCTCCCCCCCGCCCCCCCCCGCCCTTTTATTTTCTGGCTGTTTTTTTCTCCCCAAGTTGGTGTGGGGCTTTGGGTGCAGTTTTTGTTTGGTTGGGTTTTTTCTTTTTTCCATGTTCCTTTTTTTTCCTGGATTTTTTTTTTTACCTTTTTCTGTTCAAAATTTTTTAACCCCCCCGAGTTTTTTCCCCTCCCCCCCACTACCGTTTTTTTCTCTCCACCGGTTGTTGCAGGGGGTTCTCTTTTTCCAGTTTCTCCCTCTGCCTTTTTTCCCCCCCTCCACACTTCACCTCCCCCCGCTTTTCCTCCCACACGGGGTTGGGTTTTTTGGTTGTTTTTTTGTTCTTGGGGTTTTCCCCCTTCCTTTTTTTTTTGCTGGGTTTCCCCAGGTTAGTGCTTTTTGTTTGTTTGGGGGCTTTTTTTTTCAGGTGGTGGTGTGGTTGCTGTTGGGTTTCTGGGATTGTTAAGTTTTGGGTTTTTTTCTGCTTTTTCTTACCCCCAAAGATTTTTTTCATGTTGTTTTTTCTTTATTCCTTTTTCCATTTTTTATTATTATTATTTTATTTATATTTTGCTGGATTTTATCTCTGGTTTTTATCAATGCATTTTATCCTCTCCCTCCCCCCCCCCTTTTTTTTCCCCTTCCAGTTGGTGAAGTTTTTCCACAGTTTGAGGGGATTGTGACCACTGGAAATCCTGCATGCTGGGAATCCTCTGGCAATTTAGGCTGGTGAGGCACCGGCACAGGTTCCCCAGAGAAATGGTGAATGCTCCACCCCTGGCAGTGTTCAAGGCCAGGTAGGACAGAACCTCAAATGAGGTTTCTTGTAGCCCCTTTAGGCACTGGAGCTGCTCTACGGTCTCTCCTTAAGGAGTCTTCTCTTCTCCAGGCTGAACCAGCCCAGTTCTCTCAGCCTGGCTCCAGAGCAGAGCTGCTCCAGCCCTTGGAGCATCTTCATGGTCTTCCTCAGGACTCGCTCCAGGAGGTCCACATCCCCATTCCTTCCTACCAAGCCACATCCCCAGAGTGCAATGTGTGTTCTCTATCCAATACGCTCTTTTGTGCTGAAACCATTTTTCCTGCAAGGAGAATCAAGACGAAAACACAGGCAGAGACACGGAGGGAAAAGAACTGAGCAACTGCAGAAGGTTCAAACGGACAGGCTGGGTGTGCTGCTGCATTCCTGCTTTCAGATGCAGTAGTGGCACTGTTTTATCCCGGAAAGGAAGGCAGCCTTAGCAAGGGAAATTCCCATTCACGGTTTGTTACGACAGCGTCGAGTTGCTTTGGGATCTTGCAGTAAGGCTGCAAGAGGAGAGCGAAGCAGCTGGTGGCTGGCAGCTCTGAGGAACAGAACTGCTTGCGAAGGGGTGGGTTCTTTGCAGGCATGAGAGGGAAGTGGGGTGACACTTCTCAACAGAGATGCAGTCGGTTGTTACTTTTTTTGCTAGAGGTTGTTTCCTAAAGGGTTATGTGAGGAAATGGAGACCATATGCTCAGGAAAATGCATCTATATTCTGCTGTCATTTGAAATACCTATCAAGCTCAGTATCACAGTCCGTATTACGAAGGTACTGAAGTGCCTTTGCACCTTGCAGTGCTCCTGTGAGGTTTTATGATGCCCATTTTACAGCTATAAAATTAAAGTTGACTTTGGAAATCTCCACTGGCTGAGAACTGCGTCCTGTTTTACAAGGCTGTGCTGGTTGATACTGTTAAAGTTTCTGGCCAGATCTGTTGTAAACTGTACAGTTACAAGCTGTAAATATGGCATGGTCAGTGATGCTGTCATGGTTAATACCACAGAATAGTTGTGGTTGGAAGATGCCTCTGCAGATCCTCTAGTCCAACCCTGCTGCTAAAGGCAGGGTCAAGCAGGGCAGGATAGGTAATGCCAAGCTGCTGCATCCCACCATGGATGCCTTTTGCTCTGTGCCAAGGTAACACCTTTCTCTGCCTCCGGAGGTAACAGTGAATGTTGAGTAAGGACAGTAAGAAGCAATAACAAGTGCTAAATTTACTCCTGCTCCCTTATGCAGAGTACAGGGAGGGTTTAGATGAGCTCTTAGGCAGAAGTTCTTCCCTGTGAGGATGCTGAGGAGCTGGCACAGGGTGCCCAGAGAAGCTGTGGCTGCCCCATCCCTGGCAGTGTTCAAGGCCAGGTTGGACACAGGGGCTTGGAGCAAGCTGCCCTAGTGGAAGGTGTCCCTGCCCGTGGCCGACACAAACCAGTCTGGGATTCATTCCGCGGTTCCACCGCTCGCTGATGCAGGAGGACGAGCCCTCCCTCGTCCTGCAGCACACAAGCAGCGCACCCGGGGCTGCCTCCCGCGGCCCAACCAGCACCGCCCGTGCCCGACCGCCACCACCGGGAACTACGGAGCCCCGCGGCCGCGGCCCCGAGCCCCGTCTGTCGCTCGCCGCCGAGTGCCGCGCAGGGGCTGTGTGATGGCGCCATCTAGCGGCGCTCTGGAGCAGCGCCGCCCGCTCCGCCCCGCCGCCGTGTTACTCATCCCCTTCCTTACCTGTGTGGAACACGAGCGCACACAGGGCCCCCGCCAAGGCGCAAGGCACAAGGCGCATTGTATTGTTGCAGCAGCGTGTTTTCACAGTGCTGCGGTTACTGCGTTACTGCACTTGAAACTCGGGCATCGTTACTAACCAAAGCCCTTCAAGAAAGCCACCCAAACACGCTCACCTTATCGCAAAGAACCAGGCTTTGCCTGTCCACAGGCAGCAGTTAAAGTCAGCAGTTTAAAGGGGTGAAGAAAACGTGGGCACACACACATAAATAACCCCCAAACATTCCCCCCCCGCCCCCCCGATTTTACAAACTAACATGCTCACAGCTTACTTCCATCTTATAAACTTCTCACACCTTGATTCGACTTCCCAGGATTTCTGCTAAGCTGGGGGGGAGGGGGTGTTGGGGGTTGTGTGTGGAATGAAAGCCAACAGGCTTTCATTTTTCTACTGCATTTCTACTTATACACCTTGAGATTCCAACTGCAGTGCCCTGCTCCAGAAACAACCACTCACGTTGCAGTTCATTCCTTGAACAACTAAAGCTAGGCGAGGATGAGGAAACCCAGTTAACAGCGCCTGGGGGTGTTTAGTCTGGAGAAGAGAAAGCTCAGGGGAGGACCTTATCACTCTCACCTGCCAAGAGGATGGAGCCAGGAGGGGAGTGTTCTCTGCTCCGCAGTCATGGAACAAAAGAAAACGGCCTCAAGTTGTGCCAGGGGAGATTTAATCTAGGTGTTAATACATAGCATTAAAGGGAAGTTTAAGCAAATATCAACAAAACAACAGCACATCTTTGGCTTCACCATCCCAAGCCCTAGCAACAATTCAGGCAGTGAAATCACATCAATATCAGAGATGCTTCTGTAGTTTGGGCATTCTCCCACTGGATACTGTGCTTGCCTTCGCTGAATTCCAAAAGAAGCTTAGCCAGCCCTCGTCTTTTGCTTGCCAGTTCTTTCAGGTCCAGTATGTGTTTCCCTTCTCTCCAGCTGTAGATTGTCCTCTTAGTAAGTCTTGAGCTGCTAAGCATCACAGGAGTCACCCCTGAACTGCTGCCTTGCAAAAAAACCTGCTTCCAGCTAAGAACAGGCTGGCACTAGAAAACATCTGGCTTGTACAGAAAACAAGCATCAGAAACACCATTAGTCTGTCACCATATGACAGAACAATGTGATTTTGCATCACTTGCTACTGGTACAAACCTTGCACACAATATTTTCCGTGGCAGCAATAGTAAGAAGTCGCAGAGTATGTCTGAGACAGAAACAGCCTTTTCCTGAAGTACCATGCCATAACTTCTCTCATCATTACAGGGAGCAACTGGAAAGCCGCTGCTGCCCGGCAAAGTCTCCAAAGCAAGCAGCAGCACGAGGAAGGGCTTGCAAGCTCACAAGGTAACAGGAGGAAAAGGCTACCCCCCATTTAGAGGAAGTCTGTGTACCTGCCATTTCATGTCTTCCTGGAAGGTAAAGAAAAGAATGAATTTCACTCACTTTTGCTGTACTCAGAGTTGTAAAAGTGGGTGATGCACAGATATGTTACAGAACCATTAAGAGTGGGGGCACAGCCTAGCCTGCCTTAATCCTCAAACCTTTTGTTCCATTTCATGCCATAGATTTGCTATAATTCAGCCTCTAGCTTTGCCTACAGCCATGGACTACATAACTGTGTTCTGGCTTATGCTACAGATCAGTTATGACATGGATACCCTAAGAAAAAGCAACTGTTTTCCTAGGGTTTTCATTTCTCTTCCATCACCATCTGTTACGTATTTCACACTGTTCAACTCTATACCCAAATTGCTCACAAACCCGTAAAACAAACACCTGATCGGATTAATTCTCATCAAGCTCTTTCCTTTTCTGAAAAGGAAATTGAATCTCTTGTACCTCAATCAGCTCTTCGATGCTTGCTTCATATTTATTGATGATCACATCTTCTCTTATCTTTGATCCTCCCTTTGGCTTTCCCCTGCCTCCAACTCCTTCACTGCTTTTTGGTGATGCTCTGTATCTCATTCTTCTTTCTCACTCATTTTCCATCTTTTTTCTTTTCCTTGCTCAGATCTTGGTATGGTTCTGGAAGCTGGGAGGTTCCATGTCCTTTAAACATTCTCCTGGAAGTCTGGCCTCTTTGATGCTTGCTCCAGCTCTGGTGCACAACTGGTTCAAGATCTCAGAATATCTCCCTCAATATCAACCGAGTGCCAGGATTTCCCATTTCACTATTTTGACCTTGTATAACCTATAAACAAATTCCTCTTCACCTGCATAAGAACAAGCAATGATAATCCCGTGCTTTTTAACCAAATCAGGTCTAATAGAAACATAGAATCATAGGATAGTTAGCGTTGGAAAGGACCTTAGGACCATCAAGTGCCAACCCCCCTGCCATGGGCAGGGACACCTCACACTAAACTATGTCACCCAATGCTCTGTCCAGCCTGGCCTTAAACACCGCCAGGGATGGAGCATTCACAGCTCCCTTGGGCAACCCATTCCAGTGCCTCCCCCCCCTTACAGTAAAGAACTTCCTCCTTACATCCAATCTGAACTTCCCCTGTTTAAATTTTAACCCGTTACCCCTTGTCCTATCACTGCAGTTCCTAATGAAGAGTCCCTCTCCAGCACCCCTATAGCCCCCCTTCAGATACTGGAAGGCTGCTATGCGGTCTCCACGCAGCCTTCTCTTCTCCAGGCTGAACAGCCCCAGCTTTCTCAGCCTGTCTTCATAATAGCATAGCAGCAACTTCCTTTATCTAGTCTGCTAACAGCAGAGAGCTGCCACCAGTTGTTTCCTACACAAGACTGTCCCTCTGTGCCATTCCTTTAAAAAGGGAAATTTCCTTAACAGTTCTTAAAGATTAATCAAGTTAGATCCATCCAGCAAATTAAAAGGGTAAATTGTCTTGGACAAGGTCTACGCATTTTATATCTATGTAGTAAAGAACCTAAACTGGGAGCAGCTCTCCACAGCACCGTGGCAGCAAAACACCACAATTAAACGTGATTCCTCATTGCTGTCTACACAGCAAATAATTTATGCTTGCAAGAGACTTGTATTTCTCCTCCTATGACTGATTTGGAAGTACAAGATATTTTGTAACTCAAAAAGCATGCTATTTAAGCTGTTTAAATTCAAACCACTGTTCAAATTTCTCCAAATGAGTCAACTTTTAGTAAGGCCTAGAAATCCTGAGGGGTGTTTCAGAGGATAAAACCAAAGAAAACTGCAGCAGCTGGACAGGAGCAAGCAAAAAATGAACCCCCACTTCTCACTTGTTCAGACTTCTTTAAGAGCTTTAGAGTGTAACAGAGTCTTTGCAGCCATTTTAAAGTTAGACAGCACATGGTAACAAAGGAACAAAACCAACTCTAACTTCTTGACCATGGTCAAAAGCTAAAGAAAGCATCCAAAAACCTGACGGTTCCACCGTGCTGTTATCTCACGTACAATTTCTCTTTCCTCAGTTTTAATTAGGCTAAGTTTAAGACTAGAGATAGCCTGCTCTTGAGATCATACCTGGAACTGCGGATGCGCTGCTACAAACACACCACTTCAGTCACCATTAGTAATGCCACCGTGATATCTTTATTCCACTCTCAAATCAAACACATGCTCATCCTCAGTGATGCACTGCTTAGTCGTTTGCATTCAAATATGCATATAAACATCCAAAAGAGTTACCGTCAGTTTTTATTAAAAAACCCTAATGTTCATGTTTTTTCCCCAGTACAGCTGTATTTTCCTTAAAAAGTACTGTATGTATCAAAAATGTAAGGTTTATCCCCTCACTGTCAGTTGTCTTTGAAGAACTGTCAAACATCCCCAACTGGAATGAACTTCAGAAGAGTCTCAAGGAAAAGCTTTTAGCTTTCTAAATGTAGGACAAGAGGCTTAGTATTTTGTGGCATGAAGACAACATGCCATCAGCAAGTAATCCTTGTGTTTACAGCCTTCTTTCAGGAACGGTATCCACTCCAAATCTCAGTTGAGAATTCACACCCTGCACAAAACTAACCCAAGATCACAAGATACATTATGCAGATGGAGAGTACTTCAAGTTCCATCGACATTCATGTTTTTAACAGCTCTTTAAAGATGTAATGGTGCAGATTAAGTACAAGCTTTTTGCCTCAGTATAATACACATTTCAAATTAAAATAAACCGTGGAAGACCAATAGCTTTACATTTTATTCCTCAGAAAAAGAATCTTAACAGAAAGCATTCAGTAGTCCTCTTGTGCTTAAAATATTCAATGCATCAGAAAGCCAACAGGAAACAAAACACACACACATTCTGGTACACCATGATCAGAAAGGTAACATAACAAATGTTCAGGAATTGCACTGTATTTAAAACGCTCACTAGAATCTGCTCCACTTCTATGTGTGGCTACTGAAGTTGCTCAGTTCCTTTTCCTCTTTAATTGCCAACCTGTGGAGGCCCTTCAGGGACGAGTGACGTGAAGAAGGTTGTGATAAAGGACCAAGCAGAAGCCACGAATCCAGGCCGCTGCATTGTATTGGCATCTTCGCCTGCATCTTCTCCACTGTCTTCATCGATCCCATCATCCGTAAGTCGTTCCTTTAAAAACAGAAATTGAAGCAATTCAGCTGCTTCTTTTTAGACCTCTAACACAAGGTCAGCAGCAGCATCTTCCTATGTTAAGCAGCTTCTCTCAGAACAACCTCCTGAAGAATAACTAGCATATAAAGAGCCTGCGAGTGAAGCAGAGACCATCAGTAATTGTCAGCCTAGAAAAATACAGGACTTAAGCTGCAGGCACTGTCCAGGCATTACAACATACTTTATAATACATAGGAGTCTCAGAAGACACGTCTGCTGTTCCTCCCCATCTCTTCAAGATCAGGATTATTTGCATGTTGCCCATCACGATTCACATCCACCTTAATGGCTACCTGCTGTTG